CTCCCCGAAACCTTTGAGCTTCCCTTTCGCTTCTCCTCCAGCCATCTTGGAGATTTGAATTCCTGAACATAGGCATATTTAGAAAGCCATACAGTCAGAGAAATTAAAGCCTTTTTTCAGACTTGTGCCGCTATTTCTACTACCTAGGTTGGATTTCTAGGACTCGTGTTAGCTTGACAGTCAAAGTCCATGATGGCTCAATTCCTAAATTCCAATAGCTCTTTGTCATGTCCCCCTCAGGTATGCGAGTATTTGGTGCATTACATACATATTTGGTGTGTTTTATTTATCTACCTGAGATTTTTTTTTTTGTGTTTCTTTTTGGATTTTGTAAATGAGAATTGGGTTTTTTGGGTGCTGTGAGTGTGCAGAAGGAAAAAATGGTAGATGAGGATATGTATGTGTTGTTACCAAATATATCTATTTTATCTTAACCATTGGCAAAGCCATGGTTCGGTGAAAATGATGTCAATTTCTGACCTGGTGAATTTGTAACTTTATTCTATATTGAATTTGTTATTCTATGTCTTCTGTCCTCGTGTTCTGTTTCGTTATGGTGACAATATTCAGAAATATCCTTTACTTGTTGCAATTTATTAATAATGTTTCCAAGTCACTACTTGAAAATTGAAATGGAAACACAATATTGCAGTTGTTTTTATAGCCTTCATTCCATAGCATCAGGCTTATGCATACTCCATGAAAATCCCAAGCTTTAAGGTCGTACTGATTGTTCTTTAGTAATCTGGACTTACCCAGTTAACTTTATTAATTATTTTTTGGTTAAATGTATTTGGATGTGTAGCTCTTTCCTCGAGTGTACTTAGTCAAAGCGGAAAAATCAGAATCTTCATCTTCAAATGATATGTCTGAATTAGTTGTGGTTCAAGAGGTAACTCATTTCCTTCCTATATTTGAGGACTCCATGATTTTTGGTACCTTGCAACTTCAGTGCTGCTATATAAGAACAGTGTTTGATTCCAGCTGGGAAATGCAGGCTTGGTGTCCGTTTTCTTTTGGGTTGGACAATTAGAACGAGAAGGCGGTAGCCAATAAACAGTTGGGAGGATCATTTGACTCATTGGTGTGTAAATTATAAGTCTCCTTTCTCTTACCCTTTCCTTTGTGCAACATATTGCTAGCAGATAATGTAATCTGCTGGTTTTAATGTTTCATATCATTATGTTCTACTAATAATGACTGATATGAAGTTCATTTTAGTGGCAATATTCTTTCATTTTCTGCATTCACTGAAATTTGATGTCAATTTCAGAGTTCCCACGCTCTTATACAAGAAGTTGTGAAGGCATCGAAGGAGAGGAAATCTGAAGTTGTAGAAATAAAGGTTATTTAGTCATGTTAATGTTTTCCCGTCTAATGGAACATATGTACCCACCATTACCATTACTTGCATATTGAAGCTAATATGTACGTACATGCCCTCTGAAGAAACTGATAAGAGAAGACAAATTTCTCTATTGATCGATAATTTACAAGAACCCTACTACTCAAATTTATATTACAGATGGTGACTCTAAAAAGGAAAAATAAATCTGCTACCTAAGGAAAGAATTGCAGACTACCAATTAATATAAAACTACATCTTTAAATGATAACTTCCATATACGGTTTCCTACACCCTCTTTTTTTTTTATCATTTTCCTTCTTTAGCAAATTTCCATATGAATTCTACTAATCCCCTCTCTTGTCCAGCCAAACAGCTATTTCTTTTCAGATATTTAATTCTAAATGCTAATACTCTGGAAGAGAAATGTGGTGGTTTTGTATCTTATTATTATTATTATCTCGCGATCACTTTTTCAGACCACATTTTATGATCTCTAAGATGTTTTCTTTGCAGTTTCTGAGGAACATGTTGCTGCTGCAGTATTTGATTATTATTCTCGAGGGGGACTTTTTCCCTCATAATTCTGCATATCGCGTTAAAGTGTTTCTGTGTGATTGATGATGCTTTCTTGAGATGGGCCTTTAGAATCCGTGGTTGAGTTGTTCATATCATGCATTGCAGAAAATATGAACTGGACTCTTTTGAGGGAATCACTGCTTAATATTCTTTTGGTATGCCTTTCCCATTTTCCATGATTTCATTTCATCATTTAATTCCATTCCTTGTTATAATTACTCTCCTGATTAATCGTGCTTTTGACTTTTTCCTACCACTCGTTTGCAGCGCTCAAGAAAAATAATCTACAAAGGCTTCATACCAGACTGCTTGTGTATCATGTGTGACCTCTCTCTTGATCAGATTGAGTTGTCTTCTAAAATGAGCCATGACAGTAGACATTCAGGGGATCTATGATCTATCAGAAGAATCTGATACTCCTTTGGTATTAGCATTACCCAAACTTGAAAAATCTACATGCACTGTTCTGAAAAAACTTGTGTTCATGGTGAGTCCTTGAGCCATCTCTTTCTGGGGATATCTGTAATCAGATTTTTATTTACCATGCCTTGTTATATCATTTAGATCATGGAGTTAGATTTATCACAGAGCATGGCAGACCTGCAGGGTTTTACCACCAGGGTTGATGGTGTAAGGTACTTTTTAATTTCTCTCTCTTTAACATAATTTTCTGCCTAAAACTATAGTTAAGGCATATATTTTTAACTGGATGTGGTGCAGGACCCCGGTGGTGGACATTATTTTAGAGGAACTCATTTACAACAACAATATCCTTTCGTCCCTTTTACAGGCGCTTTCTCTGTCTCTCCCCCTTTATGCATATATCACGCTCACGAATATGGTTTTCCCCTTTAAGCACAGTGAACTTGAAATGAAAACCCAGATCATGTTAGATAGTTTGGCTTGTCTACCATATATATCTGAGAGGAAAATACTGCAGTTGGTGTATACTGATCTTTCGCTTGTATTTTATTGAACACGTAGAATTGACAATTGGTTAATGATACAAAACAATTTATGTTGCCTTTTCTCTCTCTCTCTCTCTCTCTCTCTCTCTCTCTCTCTCTCTCTTTTTATTATTTTGATTTTCCCTGACATTTGGGGTTGGGGTGTTTTACTATTTGTAATACAGAAATCATACATAAGCAAAATATTATAATGGCGTGGGGTTCAAATAGGGAAAGCTTACTTGGTTTATGTATTTTTACCTACTCCATAACTGCTGTGAAAATGTATTATTTAGTTTAAATAAATACTTTGGTTTATAGTTATATGTCATAAAGCTTTCCAGTTAACCGAATTAATATTCTTTCTGTTTACTGATGAGAGTGGGAAATATGAGTTGGTTTGTTAGTTATTATGATGCAAATTTATTTTATTTTCGGAATTACACATTGAATGAATACTTGAATGATATGTTTTTGTTTGTCAGATGGTGTTAAGACTTACCTCTGATGTTACATCATTTATTGTTTGCTGAGTGAGAAAGTTTTTTTTTAAATTGTAACAAAAGGTTGTAATTGTGTTCAAGACTATCGATTAGTGAATAAAAAATACCAAGAAAACTTATGTATTTGATTATCTTAAAATTCCAATTGCTTAGGTCAATCAAACTTTGCCTCTTTACATAATCATCAAACCAGATTCCATTATATTCAAGTAAATGAGGTGTACTTTTCTGCAAAAAAATCTACCAAAGTATATTCTTGCATTTTATATACCATTATTAATGTTTGTAGTCGAATTTCAGTTATGTTGTTTGTAATGGTTTCTGTTTTCTTGTATTTTATACTTCTTACCAATTTATTTTGTTCACTTTGCATTGTATTTAGTTATTTGTCTTATGGATGCTGCCGAAGGTAGTGCTGGAAGTTGTGAACTACGAAAGAAGCGTCGTCGAGAGATTCATGCTAAATAAAAATAATCTCGAAATTCACAACGTCGAGAATTATACTCCTAAGCACGAGAGTTTTGTAATGCACGTCGACAAGAACTGCATGCTCAAACAAAAACAATGTTAAAGAGGTAAGAAAATTCTGTTAGAGGCATAATTCTGGATTTTTTATTTTTCTTTTTGTAATCTATGATAAAAAGTGTTAAAAGACTTTTTTTTACCAATATGTCCAACTCAAGAGCATGGTGGACACCAATTTGTTGGGCTTGAACTTCGAGCTTACACGGATAATCTTCCTGATCTGATTTTGAACCTGAAAGAGGTAAGTTGTTGAATCAGATCATATGCCGTGCTTTTGAATGACACTCTCTCTTATCATATAACAGTTTTTGTATCTATTGGCTCCAAGAAAATTGGTCAGGTTATTGCATAAATAGAATAATGTACTATAGCACTCAATTATAGTTTTTGGTTCAACTTAGACCTTTGAATGAAAAGGGGGATTCATTGAGAAGCTGAAGGTTTCTCTTATGATTTTCATTTTTATTTCGAAATTTTGGACTGAAGAATTATATATATATATATATATGTTTGTGATTCACTGCAACTGATGCAACTTTTTCCGGTGTTCTTTAATTTAGGAGTATTTAACCCATTATAGTTACAAGGGGATCAAATGCAAAAGTGGTGGTGATGTATCTTTTCTCTTGTTTGTAATCAAGAAGGAGAATCTTTTATTTTGGTGAAAAATGGAAACTTGAGTTGCTAATCCTGGGTAAATTTTATGATATTCTTAGTTCATTTGTTTTTTTTTTTTTTGGGTCTAATCATTTTGAGATAAACATGTTGATATAATTTCTTAGTTCTTTTTTTTTTTGTTGAAACATGTCTCTGATGCAGCCATTAAATGAGAAATTGACATAAATGAAAGTTCTTGTTGAATACTTCGTGAAAATGTGAAGTCAGATCAGTAGATCTTGATGGCAGTTTGTTTTCTTTTTCATACGACAGCGGACAGCCTTTGGAGCAAGTAGAAGTGGAGTATGTCCCAGCAAAGACAGAATTAGATGGTAACTTAGATGAGGAATTCAGAAAGGATTTTGAGAAATTCAGTTTTACAGTAAGTGCTGGTTCTAAGGTGAGAATACGTTTTCTAATGATTCCTTTTATTTGTCCTTTTTTTAAAAAAAAAAATCCTTTGGTCTCCTTCTTTGTTGTTTCTCTCTATTCTTTTCTCTATCATAATATTCCAGTCTATTCAGGAGAATGATAAAAAGGATGAGACTGCACCTGATGCAGCCTCAAAGGAGGAGGCCGACTCACTCTTTGCCAAGCCTGGTGATCCACAATATGCTCCACCTGTCCAGGAGGCTGAGACTCATGTAAGATTTTATTTTCCATAAATGTCGTGTACTTTTCACATAAACGGTTTATAAAGACATGATTTCTTGGTGAAGGTTTTCCTTATGAGATGTTGTCTGGAGGAAGTTTTATTTGTGTGTGAAGTACCAAAAGTTGGATGGAACTTATATTATTTGTCTTTTTTTCCAGTAACTTGATTGTCTTTTGTTGCTTGATTATAGTTGATCCTTGATTATGGCTTGCAGTAATCTTGACATAACAGCTGTCGACATTTTCAATGTGAATTGGCATATGATGACAGATCATTTTTCCTTGATAGGGAATGTTCTATAAATTGTAAAATTTGTTCATTTGAGTGCTCTGATTATCTGAGCTTTGTCTTCATTTTTTAGTTATGTTCATCTGGATTTGTAGTTTTATTGCTTTCGTCAATGATAATTATATGTCCACAGGCTGAAGTGAACGTGAAGATAAAAGCATTCTGCCCTCCAAACGTGGTAGAAAAGAATCCATGCTTCGAGTACGTCAAGTACGTTATTTTCCCATGGTTTAATGAGTTCAAAGTTGAACGAAATTGAGATAATGGAGGTGACAAGTGAGTTACTCTTATTTCTACTGAGATTTTTATTGACCTTCATAATGTAGCAAGTGTAGTTTATTATTTTTGCAAGAAATTTTCCATTCGTAATTATATAATTAAATAAGTTGTTTTTTTAATGTATAACGTGATTAGGTGAATTTAAAAGAAAATTGAAGATACGTCGAAATAAGCTCGTGTTTTTTTCTTTTTTTTCATTCTTTCAAAACTCTTTTTTTATTTAACCACACAATCACATGATAAAATCTTGTGAAAACTTTGTTCAATGTTTCTAGAACATCTCTTCAGCTATTGTCATATTGTTAACGAATGGTTGCCACATTGTGAACTTTTAGGAAGAATATCTCTTCCATCGAAAAAATACTTTAAAATCATTCCACGCTATTAAATACCCAACTAACCTGTAACACGTGCATCGCACGTGCGTACACTAGTACTATACAAAGAAAAAGTTGGGATATGCATTTCTTATTATTTTGTTCAAGAAAAACTATTTTTATTATGTTTAGAAAATTTATTAAGCACGTGAACAAGATGAATATCACTTGGCATATATAAAAATGTGCTAACCTCAATGTAAAGTTTGGCTCAAAAAGAGAT